CCCTAATGGCATTGTGGGTCTACCTACAGCACATGGACATCAGCAGTTCAAAAAGACAGCTTGCGGCTTCCTTCTCAAAGGCACCTAGAAGGCCAATAAAAACTGGTCCAACCAGTGTCACCCAGGTCCATGAGTGAATAAAATACCTCCAAAATCTTAGTTTAAAACCAGCACCCCAATTTCCTCCACCACAGTCATGTGTCTGCCCTGTCTAAGTGGCGGGATAAACCCACTAGAGGAGTCAAGAGGTCAACATTGCCATGAGACATCAAGAAGACCAATATGGGCATGGAAACTTCCTGCTGATTACCACCCACCATGCTCTCTCAGAAGACATTCTGAAGGTAGCTAGGGCAAGGAATGTATTCTTGTTGAGAGACTTCAGTGTCTATCACCAAGAGTAATTCGGTATCACTATTACTGGCTAAACTGGCAGAATCCTAAAGGACATTACTTCTAGAATGGATCTGTGACAAGTGGTAGGGAATCAACTAGAGGATAAGGCTGCTCGATCCTACTCTCACCAATTTATCTGTCGCAGATGCATTTGTCCATGACAGTATTGGTAGGAGTGACCATTGCAGTCTTTTTGAGGAGACACAGTTCCATCTTCACATTGAGTATACCCTCCATTATGTCGTGTGGTGCTGCCACTGTATTAAATGGGATAGAATCATAATGGAGGCTTGGAGACCACTTTGCGGAACACCTACGCTTGGTTCGCAACAAACGACTGCACCTCCCAGTTGCAAACCATTTCAACTCCCCCTCCCACTCCTTGGACGACATGTCCATCCTGGGCCTCCTCCAGTACCACAACGATGCCACCCGAAAGTTGCAGGAACAGCACCTCATATTTCGCTTGGGAACGCTGCAGCCCAATGGTATCAATGTGGACTTCACAAGCTTCAAAATCTCCCTGCCCCCGACCGCATCCCAAAACCAGCCCAGCTCGTCCCCGTCTCCCTGACCGTCTGTCTTTTCTCCCACCTATCCGCTCCTCCCACCTCAAGCCCCACCCCCACCTCCTACCTACCAGCCTCATCCCCGCCTCCTTGACTTGTCTGTCTTCCCTTGACTGACCAACCCCCACACTAACTCCCCACCTACACCCACCCTTACTGGCTCCGTCCCCGCCTCCCTGATCTGTCTGTCTCCTCTCCACCTATCTGCTCCTTTATCCATCTTCCATCCGCCTCCCTCTCTCTCTATTTATTTCAGAATCCTGTTCCCCTCCCTCATTTCTGAAGAAGGGTCCAGGCCCAAAACGACAGCTTTCCTGCTGCTCTGATGCTGCTTGGCCTGCTGTGTTCATCCAGCTCTACACCTTGTTATCTCTAAACATAAAATTCACCAGTTTTAAAATCTCCCCACCACCAGCCTCATCCCATGTCCAATCCTCCTTCTCATCCCCGCTTCCTTGACCTGACACGACCTGTCCATCTTCTCTCCCACCTATCCACCCCACCCATCCCTGATTTAACCCATCATTACATAGATGATTTGGAGTTGGCCACTAAGTGTGGTGTGTCAAAATTTGCAGATGACACAAGATGAGTGGTAGAGCAAAGTGTGCAGAAGACACTGAAAGTCTGCAGAGGGATATAGATAGTCTAAGTGAGTGGGCAAAGGTCTGGCAGATGGAGTACAATGTTGATAAGTCTGAGGTCATCCATTTTGGTAGGAAAAACAGGAAAATGGACTATGTTTTAAATGGTAAAAAATTGCAGCACGCTGCTGTGCAGAGGGACTTGGGTGTCCTTGTGCATGAATCGCTAAAAGTAGGATTGCAGGTGCAGCAGGTAATTAAAAAGGCAAATGGAATTTTGTCTGCCATTGCTAGAGGGATGGAGTTTAAAAACAGGGAGGCTATGCTGCAGCTGTATAGGGTCCTGGTGAGGCCACACCTGGAGTACTGTGTGCAGTTTTGGCCTCCTTACTTGAGAAGGGATATACTAGCACTGGAGGGGGTGCAGAGGAGATTGACTCAGTTGATTCCAGAGTAGAGAGGGTTGGATTATGAGGAGAGGCTAGGTAGGCTGGGATTATACTCATTGGAATTCAGAAGAATGAGGGGAGATCTTATTGAAACATATAAGATGATGAAGGAAGTAGATAAGGTGGAGGCAGGGAGGTTGTTTCTACTAGCAGGTGAAACTAGGACTAAGGGGGCATAGCCTCAAAATAAAGGGAAGCAGATGTAGGACTGAGGTCAGGAGGAACTTCTTCACCCAAAGGGTTGTGAATCTGTGGAATTCCCTGCCCAGTGAAGCGGTTGAAGCTACCTCGCTGAATGTTTTTAAGGCAAGGCTAGATAAATTTTTGAACAGTAAAGGAATTAAGGGTTATGGTGAGTAGGCGGGTAAGTGGAGCTGAGTCTCAAAAAGATCAGCCATGATCTTATTAAATGGTGGGGCAGGCTCAAGGGGCCGGATGGCCTACTCATGGTCCTAGTTCTTATGTTCTTATGTTCTTATACCACTGACCAATCCCCACCAGTCCCTACCTGCATTCACCTATCACCATCCCACCTACCTTACCCGAGCCCCACCTCTCCTCTCTCTATTTATTTCCCAGCTGCCTCCCCCTTCCACATTTCTGAAGAAGGGTCCAGACCTGAAATGCCAACTTTCCTGCTCCTCTGATGCTGCCTGGCCTGCTGTGTTCATCCAACTCCACACTGCATTGTCTCTGACTCCAGCTTTTGCAGTTCTTGCTATTTCTTCACGAATGTTCAGTTGCCCTTCGCCAATGGAGTCATGAGCAGGTTTCAAAGCATGGAATGGGGTTGTGCCACCATCCTTCACTGTTGCCATGTCAGGGATGTATAAAGTGCGTGACCTCAGGCACTGTCTGGAAGTCAAGGTGCCACAAAGTCTGATTGATATTTGTCCAATACACAACCCTCCGCTGGTTATAATAGACTCCCTCTGAACTCTTGTGACCTCTTTGTCCTTTGTTTCCACTGCTCTCTGTAGCTGATAGCTGCTGTTTAATTTAGTTCAGCCAAGTTTCCGTCAGGCCCAATTTCTCCGCTGTGGGTCAATTCAGAATGTCCAATTTTGTCCAATGTTACACTTTCTCTCAGCTTCCCAACAACAACACTTGAAATTAGGAAACAATCACTCTCTGAGAAGTCAAAGATATCTACAAAATTTGCTACTGCTGAGGATACAAGTCAATAATTAAATAACATGAGTCCTAGGTTAAAAATATAAAATCTCAAGGATTCTAAGGACTTTTAAACTGCATAACATATGTTCTCCCTGTCTGCACCAAATATTCTTCTTAAAACTTATCACCTGTGCTTGTGTGTACATTTGATATTGTATGTTATTATGTTTTAGGAGAGAGTATCTTTCGCTCAAGAAAACCTTGTAATTGGCTCCTTCATTTTAATCTAGTTAACTGTTTTTAAAAATGTTTAATTGTTTGATGGCTGCCTACTAAACAGAATATTAAAAAATCATATTTTTATAAATAAATATAGGTTTATATTAACTTATATGTGGTGACCGGAAATGGACTCAATACTTTAATTATGGCCTAATCAGGCCATTAGAAAGGTTTGTTGCAACTTTCCTGCTTTTGTACACAGTACCTCTATTTATGAAGCCCAGGATCCTACACACTTTGCTATTTGTTCTCTCAATATGTTCTGCCAACTTCAAAGATTTGGGCAAACAAACTCCCAAGTCACTTTCTCCCTGTATACACTTGAGAATTGTGTTATTAAGTCTATGTTGCCACTCCCAATTCCTTTTGTGAAAGTGCATCAGCTCACACTTATCTCTATTAAACTTCACGTGCCACTTGTTTGCCCATTATTTTCGGCAATCTATTTTCTGTTGTAGTCAATTGGTGTCGTCCTCACTGTCATGTCTCCAATTTTGGTATCATTGGTAAAATTTTTGAAATGTAGCTTTGTATTGCAAGATATGAGTCATTTATAAGCACATATGTCCTGCTTTGGATCATCAGACGTAACTATTAATGGCACCAGCCTCAAGCTTGTTGGAAAATTCTCATTGCTTGGCTATGTGCTATCTAGGTGTGGCACTATTAATGACGATATTTATGTTTCCATCAGAAAGCATGATCTGTCCATGGCTGAGTTTATGCTGAAAGCAGCATGGCATTACACTGAACATTAAACTCTGCCAACCCATCAACCTTACCACCCTATCAAATGCCATAGTATCCTGGGTCTGGTTCTACCTGAAAGCTTTGTAATGTTATTATCTTTGCATGAGTAATTTTTGTCCATAATAAACGAGTCCTTTATTTAAGGAATTGTTTAACTTGATTCCAACACTGCATTTTTTTTCTCTGTTCATTTGTGGGATGTGGGCGTCGCTGGCTGGCCAGCATTTCTTGCCCATCCCTACATCCAACAAAAGCAGAAATTGCTAGGAAAATTCAGCAGGTCTGGCAGCACTTGTGGAGAGAAAGCAGAGTTAACATCCTGCCAGATGCTGCCAGACCTGCTGAATTTTCCCAGCAATTCCTGTTTTTATTTCTGATTTCCAACATCTGCAGTTATTTATTTGTTTTTGTTTGCACAGTTACATACAATCTGAAATTGGCAGGATGACCTTCCACTTTAAATTTAAACTTTGTTGTAAGCAGTGGAGAGAAAGCCATCACTACCGAACTAAAAATGAACACTGCCTCACATATATTCACTCATTTAAGGAGGGGTGCAGTGGTAGAAGATACTACCTATGTGTGTCATTACAGATATTTGGTTGCTTATACTGGCCTATGAATTGGGAAATCTGCTGTGCAGAGGCTGTGCTGATTTTTACAGGAGTATGCTGATTTTGCATTCGATTCAGGAAAACAATGGTCCCATTTCTAACAATGTTCTCCGACCATCGGGGAAGCGAATGACGGCTGGGAACTTTCTCCTTCCAGTTTTACCACGTTTGACAACGACCCCTTTCCTTATATAGAGGGTGAAAGTCACATGAGTTGAATTCCTGGATTATAAACGAAGGGTCGGCGAGAAGAAGCTTCTCGTTAGCCGGAGCCAGGCTCCAGCTTCAGGCAAGAAGGTGAAGGGGAGGAGAGTGTGGGGAAGGGCAGGGTAGCTGGGAGCAGCTAGATACTGAGCAGAGAGAAACTCAATCTGCAGGAACCGAGATAGGAGCCAGCAAGGCGTGAACAGAGAGAGAGAGACAGCAGCCCATCCCAGGCCGGCAGAGGCCGGCTCTGTGTCCCAGGCTCGGAGCTCAGCAACCCCGGGAGCGAGCAGAAAGGCGGCGGGGACAAAGCAGACCATGATCGGCACCAGATCCAGGGGCACGGAGCTGCCGGAGCCGGATCACAATAAACTCGCTCTGAAAACCTTCAGGAAAGTCGGTAAGGATGGGATGGGCAGAGTGGGCATTTGTTGAGGGAAGGACAGGAATGTGTCCGACCCAGGAATAACTGGCGGGGGCCAGGGGCACGGATTAAACACAGATTGTGGGGAGATGCGTTGCTGCAGGCAAACTCTGACTAAATAAGGATGCATTCCTTGAAAAGTTTCTCCTTTTTAAACAAAAACAATCACGAGTTCCAGCGGCTCTCCGTCGCTGCAATGAGAAAGGAGGCACCTCCCTTTGCACAATGCGGAATATTTCTGGGATTTGTCTCACAGGAGGCTCCAACTTTGGGACGGAATCTCTGTGTGTGATTTCGATGAGTGTGGGAGAGTTTTCTCAGTTTCAGTACAATTCGCAAAACGGCGTGTTGAAGGGGCAACATGTCCAAGCAGGCAGTTGTCTGTTTTCTTCGCACTGGGGATGTTCATCATCCAGACCCAAGGTAATTAAACCCCAGTTTAAATCATTGTGCCCAGTTCTGAACCCCACACCCCAGTATCATATGAGGGTCGCTGACACGCTGCACAGGAGATTTAACAGAATGTTTCCAGGGATTTTAGGTCCAGTTAGGTTTGAAAGGAACTTGTCTCGGATTCTCCAGCATCTGCAGTTCCTACTATCTCTGATGCAAAAAACATACTGTTAGCTGAATCTACAAGGACAGCATAGATTTGCAAGCCTGAGGCAAGGGATACAGGGGGAAATGTGAGGAAAGCTCCTTGCCAGAGTCAGTGATAATTGTTGTATAAAACACTTTGTATTTTAAAGGATTAAATACATCGTGAGAGGCGCTCCATCCATAGAGATGTCAAGGATTTTTTTCCTGGGAGGAGCTAACCACCCTGTTCGGCTGAGTGCAGAAGAAATTCAGCAGGCCTGGCAACATCTGTGGAGAGGAAGACAGAGTTAACATTTTGGGTCCAGTTTGAGGTTCTGAAGAAGAGAATCATACCAGACTTGAAACGTTAACTCTGTTTCTCTCTGCACTGATGCTGTCAGACCTGCTGAGTTTCTCAAGATTTGCAAGGGCTATTACTTGAACTAAAGAGTTTTGATAAGGATGAACAGGTTGGAGTCCACTTTCCTGGGATCAAGACTGAAAAATGGATTTGATAAGATGGGTGAGAAGAAGGTGCTCCCACTTGTAAGAGAATCCACAATTAAAAGTAATAGAGATAAAATAGTTACTAGTAAATCCAATATCTGATGGAATGGTTGAGGGGACTAGTGTAGACACGATGAAGTGAAAACTAGATAAATACATCAAGGAGAAAGAATTGTAGAGTTTGACAGGATATGCTAATAGGATTAGATGAAGTAAAGAAGAGGAAGGCAAGTAGGGAACATAAGTTCTGGCAGAGACCAGTTTTACTGAATAGTCTCTTCAATGCTGTATGTTCTGTGCAATTCGAAAATGGACATTCAGAAGGAGGGCAAGATTGTGGAATGAAACAGAAGATGCTCCAGAGAATACTAAACCAACTGAACCTCCACTTGAGAACAAAGAGTCAATGGAGGAGGAGGCAGCAGATGAACAGGGTGAGTGGCAGGTGGTGAGAAGAAACCTCAAAAGCAAAACCTTTCAATCATACAGGGCCAGCAGCAGAATGAAAACACACAGCTGTGTGCAGAGGGGCACACTAGCAACTCTTCGTGGCCATAAATAGAAGTAGAGGCAAAGTACTATGATGGGGCAGGGGGAAGGAGATGACCACTCTGCAACCTGGAAACGCTGGTCATCATAACACATGCTTCCTGGCCTCAGTCCTACCTCAATGACACCTGATCGAGGCAATGCCCCCTAGAGAGAAAAAGGACAGCTCCATCAGCCGTGCTGCAACAGTTTGCTCATACCATGGGGATGCAGGATCACACCAAGTGACAGGATCAAATTTAAACCTTTATTGGACTATTGGTCAGTTTGGTGATCTAAAAATCTTAAAATGGGTTTGAAAATTGCCAGCATAAAAGCTGTGCAATGTGTCTCCCCATCGGCTCGCCTGACCAACGTCAAGGTGGATTTCCTGTTTCTGCATTTGCATGGGATCTTGCACCTCATCAGCTAAAGGAAATGGTCGAGCTTCAGGGCCCATGGACCATTGGTGTATTCGGTGCAACGATAGCCGTTCCTCCAGTCTGGGTATTCTGCTGCAAGGAGGCAACTTCATCATCTCAAAGTTAAGGAGCAGATACCTCTTTGAACCACATGTTGTGTATAGGAACACTCCCCTGAGACTAATTAACGTGTACGCCCGGTGGTAAAGAGTGAGCAACTCACTGTCCTGCTGCAGTTCCCACTGCTGCTGGCAACATGCAGGCCGGTTTTTCTGGCCAGAGACTTCAACCTCATCAGTGGATGATCTGGAGGGACTGACAGCAAACTGGATGCTACGTCCAGATTCCCAGTGGAACTGGTTAAAATGCCAATCTGCTGTCCATCATCAGCAACCCTGCAGATTGAGCACAGCCATAGATATACCTAATCGTGGCCTGACAGGTCTATCCGCTCCAGGATAGATTCCCTGTTTGCATCAGGCCGGTTTTCTTCTCCGACTGCCGCCTCCTACTAGCCGACTATCACCAGCAGGATGATCAGCAGGCCAGTGAGGGAATGTGGAAGTTGAAAGTGAAACTTCTGACCCCAAAATACACTGAGGAACCCAAAAAAGGAATACAAAGGTTGGTAAACCGCAAAATCCCTCCTTGAGTCTCCACCAGATTGATGGGGAACAGTCATGGGGAATATCAAGACATTCTGCATCCTCAGAGGTGTTCAGAAGGCAAGAGAGATGAGAAAAACTGTCGAGGAAAGTATGCAAAACCTGCTCTTGCTGCAAAGTGGGATCAATGTCAAGGAGGATCTCCAAGAGGTAAAGAGCCAGCAAGCCTCACTATTTGCCATGGAGGCCGCCAAGATAATCTTCTGGTCCAGGGTCCGCATCTGAAGCAGGTTGAGACGTGTTCATGTTTCTTTTAGAAGGTGCGTGGGGAGAGCTTTGTGATTAGCAACCTGAGGAAGAAGATGGCTCAGTAAGGTCATTTCAGTCCGATATTCTGAGGATCAGCAAACCATTTTATGCTGAACTGTATAACACACAGCGCAGCCTCCCAGTCATTCCTGTCCTCTATCATGGAGGTCTTCAATGACAGCATGTGACAGCAGCCATTATCTCTGAATGAGCTGACCAAGCTCCTCGAGTCCTTTGAGAGAAATAAAACTCCTGGAAGCAACAGCTGACCAGCTGAGTTGTATTCAGCTCTGTGGGACCTGATTGGCCAGGACCTGCTGAAGTTTTATAACAATATGCTTCTGGCAGGTAGATTCTCACATGCTATGAGGAAAGGTTTCCTTACATTCAACAATATGTGGAAGGAGGAAATAAACTGCTGACCAAGCTCAGGACAACGCAGGTTACAAAATCCTGCCTAAGGTCATTGCCACTGGATCAGGTCTGCTCTGGAATCAGTAATTTACCCTGATTAAACCTGTGCTGTATCAGGAAGTACGATCTCTGAGAGCCTTATGCTCCTCAGAGATACAATCGCCTACCTGCAGGACAGGGGGTTGGACACTTGCCTCCTCAGCCTGAACCAGGAGAAGGAATTTGACAGGATATCACACACCTACATGTGGGATGTGCTGTCCAAAATGGGCTCTGGGGAGATAATCAAAATTGGACCAAACAGCTCTACACCAAAATCATTAGTGCAGTCTCAATCAATGTGTGAATAAATGCGTATCAGAAAGCCTCCTGGTCAGATCTGGAGTCAGGCAGACCTGCCCACTGTCCTGCCTTGTTTGTGTGTTGTACAGAGCCTTTGCTGACTCAGCAGAAAGGTTGCATGTCTGAGAGGGGTGACTATTCCAGGCAGCGGAGGCCTACAGGTCAGCGCCTCCCTATACATGGATGATGTTGCCGTTTCTGTTCAGATCCAATCAGTGCACAGACTCATGAGCATCTGCGACCAGTTCGAATTGGCCTTAGGAGCCAGGGTAAATCGAGGCAAGAGCAAGGCCATGTTCTTTTGGAACTAGGCTGACAATCTTTTATCCACTTCACCATCAGGTAAGATTATCTGAAGGTGCTGAGTATATGGTTGGGAGGGGCTGGGGCATGTGTCAAAACAAGAATATCGCCAGGGGGAGGCAGAAATGGGGCAGATGGGAGCCCACTGCCACTCCATTGCGGATAAAAACCTGGTCATCACGTGTGAGGTACTCTTGGTGTTGCTGCATGTAGCATAGGCCTGGCCCCTTCCCTGAACCTGTGCCATCGCAGTTACCCGAGCTATCTCCCACTTCATCTGGAGGTCAGAGATGGACCATGTCTGCAGGGACCACCACGTACAAAGCTCTGGATAAGTGCGGTGGTGTGAAGAACATAACCAATGTTGCTCTCATCCTGATGGCCACCTTTGTGTGTGGCTGCATCAAGCTGTGCATAGACCTTGGTATGCAAACACCGTGTCACTACGTACGGAGGTTCTACCTGTTCCTGGTGTTGAGGGATGGTTCTGGTTTCATTGTCGCCGAACGCTCCCAAGTAGTTGGACTGTCTGTATCACCTGTCCCTCGTGCAAAAATTTGCAAAGAGGAATGCCCTTGACTACAATTTCTGCAGGAAGTGGTCAGTGCGTAGTATCGTTGAGACCCTGCGGTAAAAGGAGAGGGTGGATCCTGTTGGGTAGTTTCCTGAGCAGACTGTCAAAGTCATTTGGCAGAATGCCTCATCATCAGAACTTTCCAACAAGCACCAAGATGTAGCTTGGCTGGTGGTGAGAAGGGCTCTGCTTGTCACATCCTTCATGCACACCCAGTCTCTGTGCACCACCGTACGCTGCCCTCGAAGTGGCTGTGCTGCTGAGGAGAATGTCACATGTTTCCTGCTGGAATGTGCCTTTGCAAACTAAGCCTGGACAGAGATTCAGTGGTTTTTTTCATGGCTCATCCTGAGCAGCTCTGTGACACAGCGCTCTATGCTCTATGAGCTGTTC